CACAGAATTGTTACTAAGGGACACACAGAATTGTTACTCAGGGACACAGAATCGTTACTGAGGGACACAGAATCGTTACTCAGGGACACAGAATTGTTACTCAGGGACACAGAATTGTTACTCAGGGACACAGAATTGTTACTCAGGGACAGACACAGAATTGTTACTCAGGGACACAGAATTGTTACTCAGGGACACAGAATTGTTACTGAGGGACACAGAATTGTTACTCAGGGACACAGAATTGTTACTCAGGGACACAGAATTGTTACTCAGGGACACAGAATTGTTACTCAGGGACACAGAATTGTTACTCAGGGACACAGAATTGTTACTGAGGGACACAGAATCGTTACTCAGGGACACAGAATTGTTACTCAGGGACACAGAATTGTTACTCAGGGACACAGAATTGTTACTGAGGGACACAGAATCGTTACTCAGGGACACAGAATTGTTACTCAGGGACACAGAATTGTTACTCAGGGACACAGAATTGTTACTCAGGGACACAGAATTGTTACTCAGGGACACAGAATTGTTACTCAGGGACACAGAATCTGTTACTGAGGGACACAGAATCGTTACTGAGGGACACAGAATTCGTTACTCAGGGACACAGAATTGTTACTCAGGGACACAGAATGTTACTCAGGGACAGACACAGAATTGTTACTCAGGGACACAGAATTGTTACTCAGGGACACAGAATTGTTACTGAGGGACACAGAATCGTTACTCAGGGACACAGAATTGTTACTCAGGGACACAGAATTGTTACTCAGGGACAGACACAGAATTGTTACTCAGGGACACAGAATTGTTACTCAGGGACAGACACAGAATTGTTACTCAGGGACACAGAATTGTTACTCAGGGACACAGAATTGTTACTGAGGGACACAGAATCGTTACTCAGGGACACAGAATTGTTACTCAGGGACACAGAATTGTTACTCAGGGACAGACACAGAATTGTTACTCAGGGACACAGAATTGTTACTCAGGGACACAGAATTGTTACTCAGGGACACAGAATCGTTACTGAGGGACACAGAATCGTTACTGAGGGACACAGAATTGTTACTCAGGGACACAGAATTGTTACTAAGGGACACAGAATCGTTACTCAGGGACACAGAATCGTTACTGAGGGACACAGAATTGTTACTCAGGGACACAGAATTGTTACTCAGGGACACAGAATTGTTACTCAGGGACACAGAATTGTTACTCAGGGACAGACACAGAATTGTTACTCAGGGACACAGAATCGTTACTCAGGGACACAGAATCGTTACTCAGGGACACAGAATTGTTACTCAGGGACACAGAATCATTACTCAGGGACACAGAATCGTTACTCAGGGACACAGAATTGTTACTCAGGGACACAGAATCGTTACTGAGGGACACAGAATCGTTACTGAGGGACACAGAATTGTTACTCAGGGACACAGAATTGTTACTCAGGGACAGACACAGAATTGTTACTCAGGGACACAGAATCGTTACTCAGGGACACAGAATCGTTACTGAGGGACACACAGAATCGTTACTGAGGGACACAGAATTGTTACTCAGGGACACAGAATTGTTACTCAGGGACACAGAATTGTTACTGAGGGACACAGAATCGTTACTCAGGGACACAGAATTGTTACTCAGGGACACAGAATTGTTACTCAGGGACATACACAGAATTGTTACTCAGGGACACAGAATTGTTACTCAGGGACACAGAATCGTTACTGAGGGACACAGAATCGTTACTGAGGGACACAGAATCGTTACTCAGGGACACAGAATTGTTACTCAGGGACACAGAATTGTTACTCAGGGACACAGAATTGTTACTCAGGGACACAGAATCGTTACTCAGGGACACAGAATCGTTACTGAGGGACACAGAATTGTTACTCAGGGACACAGAATTGTTACTCAGGGACACAGAATTGTTACTCAGGGACACAGAATTGTTACTCAGGGACAGACACAGAATCGTTACTCAGGGACACAGAATCGTTACTCAGGGACACAGAATCGTTACTGAGGGACACAGAATCGTTACTCAGGGACACAGAATTGTTACTCAGGGACACAGAATCGTTACTCAGGGACACAGAATTGTTACTCAGGGACACAGAATTGTTACTCAGGGACACAGAATCGTTACTGAGGGACACAGAATCGTTACTGAGGGACACAGAATTGTTACTCAGGGACACAGAATTGTTACTCAGGGACAGACACAGAATTGTTACTCAGGGACACAGAATTGTTACTCAGGGACACAGAATTGTTACTGAGGGACACAGAATCGTTACTCAGGGACACAGAATTGTTACTCAGGGACACAGAATTGTTACTCAGGGACAGACACAGAATTGTTACTCAGGGACACAGAATTGTTACTCAGGGACACAGAATCATTGCTGAGGGACACAGAATCATTACTGAGGGACACAGAATTGTTACTCAGGGACACAGAATTGTTACTCAGGGACACAGAATTGTTACTCAGGGACAGACACAGAATTGTTACTCAGGGACACAGAATCGTTACTCAGGGACACAGAATCGTTACTGAGGGACACAGAATCGTTATTCAGGGACACAGAATTGTTACTCAGGGACACAGAATTGTTACTGAGGGACACAAAATCGTTACTCAGGGACACAGAATCGTTACTCAGGGACACAGAATTGTTACTCAGGGACACAGAATTGTTACTCAGGGACACAGAATTGTTACTGAGGGACACAGAATCGTTACTGAGGGACACAGAATCGTTACAAAGGGACACAGAATCGTTACTCAGGGACACAGAATCGTTACTCAGGGACACAGAATTGTTACTCAGGGGACACAGAATCGTTACTCAGGGACACAGAATCGTTGAATTAAAGAGTATGTCAGACAACACGCAGAGGAGTGGCAGAGGAGGCAATGTTTCAGGAGCGAGCAGACGTGGCAGCAGAGGAAGGGGTCGAGGCAGCACTAGTCGCAGCCAGAGGCCAGTGCTCCCGGTGTCATCCAGCGGTCGTGTCTCCACCGACAACCCTGCCGTCATCAATTGGTTGGCTCGGTCGTCTTCCTCTTCCCAGGTCACCTCTGACACCTACAGCCAACGGTCGGTGGGTACGTCAGACACAACCGTTAGTTGGCATGGCATGGGACCCCACTGAAATCACGTGTCCTCTACCTGCCCCTGTCCTTTGGTGTTCCCTCACCAAGCGAAGTATCGCATGCTGTGGGCTCAGCCCCACTGTACAGTGAGGAAGAGCTAACAGAGGGCGGTCAGGAATGGGGGGAGACATCCGCCTCTTCAGCAGCCAGGCGAAGAAGTACTGGCGAGGAGAGTGGCTCGGTAGCCGGTCTAGAGACAGGTCTGTCTCCTGACCCACACGCAGCCGAGGGGGCTAGTAGTGAGGCGGAGACCCTAATTGATGATGATGAGGCTGATCGCACTTGGCAGCCTTGTCGTCATCTGCCAGGCCCGTAATCTGCCATGGGCCCCTGTACCGACTCCTCATGCTGCTGCCAGGCCCGTAATCTGTCATGGGCCCCTGTACCGCCTCCTCATGCTGCTGCCAGGTCCAGAGTGTGTCATGGGTCCCTGTACGGCCTCCCATTGCTGCTGTCTCCATCGCCACACTCTGCCATGTGCCACTTTCAGGTCTCCTCACACTGCTGGTGGGTTCCATTTTGTCATAGGGTGCTGGCAGATTACGGGCCTCCCATTGCTGCTGCCAGGCCCGTAATCTGCCATGGGCCCCCGTACCGACTCCTCATGCTGCTGCCAGGCCCGTAATCTGTCATGGGCCCCTGTACCGCCTCCTCATGCTGCTGCCAGGTCCAGAGTGTGTCATGGGTCCCTGTACGGCCTCCCATTGTTGCTGCCAGGCCCGTAATCTGCCATGGGCCCCCGTACCGACTCCTCATGCTGCTGCCAGGCCCGTAATCTGTCATGGGCCCCTGTACCACCTCCTCATGCTGCTGCCAGGTCCAGAGTGTGTCATGGGTCCCTGTACGGCCTCCCATTGCTGCTGTCTCCATCGCCACACTCTGCCATGTGCCACTTTCAGGTCTCCTCACACTGCTGGTGGGTTCCATTTTGTCATAGGGTGCTGGCAGATTACGGGCCTCCCATTGCTGCTGCCAGGCCCGTAATCTGCCTTGGGCCCCTGTACCGCCTCCTCATGCTGCTGCCAGGTCCAAAGTGTGTCATGGGTCCCTGTACGGCCTCCCATTGCTGCTGTCTCCATCGCCACACTCTGCCATGTGCCACTTTCAGGTCTCCTCACACTGCTGGTGGGTTCCATTTTGTCATAGGGTGCTGTATGGCCTCCCATTGCTGCTGCCAGGCCCGTAATCTGCCATGGGCCCCCGTACCGACTCCTCATGCTGCTGCCAGGCCCGTAATCTGTCATGGGCCCCTGTACCGCCTCCTCATGCTGCTGCCAGGTCCAGAGTGTGTCATGGGTCCCTGTACGGCCTCCCATTGCTGCTGCCAGGCCCATAATCTGTCATGGGCCCCTGTACCGCCTCCTCATGCTGCTGCCAGATCCAGAGTGTGTCATGGGTCCCTGTACGGCCTCCCATTGCTGCTGTCTCCATCGCCACACTCTGCCATGTGCCACTTTCAGGTCTCCTCACACTGCTGGTGGGTTCCATTTTGTTATAGGGTGCTGGCAGATTACGGGCCTCCCATTGCTGCTGCCAGGCCCGTAATCTGTCATGGGCCCCTGTACCGCCTCCTCATGCTGCTGCCAGGTCCAAAGTGTGTCATGGGTCCCTGTACGGCCTCCCATTGCTGCTGTCTCCATCGCCACACTCTGCCATGTGCCACTTTCAGGTCTCCTCACACTGCTGGTGGGTTCCATTTTGTCATAGGGTGCTGGCAGATTACGGGCCTCCCATTGCTGCTGCCAGGCCCGTAATCTGCCATGGGCCCCCGTACCGACTCCTCATGCTGCTGCCAGGCCCGTAATCTGTCATGGGCCCCTGTACCGCCTCCTCATGCTGCTGCCAGGTCCAGAGTGTGTCATGGGTCCCTGTACGGCCTCCCATTGCTGCTGTCTCCATCGCCACACTCTGCCATGTGCCACTTTCAGGTCTCCTCACACTGCTGGTGGGTTCCATTTTGTCATAGGGTGCTGTATGGCCTCACATTGCTGCTGCCAGGCCCGTAATCTGCCATGGGCCCCTGTACCGACTCCTCATGCTGCTGCCAGGCCCGTAATCTGTCATGGGCCCCTGTACCGACTCCTCATGCTGCTGCCAGGTCCAGAGTGTGTCATGGGTCCCTGTACGGCCTCCCATTGCTGCTGCCAGGCCCGTAATCTGCCATGGGCCCCCGTACCGACTCCTCATGCTGCTGCCAGGCCCGTAATCTGTCATGGGCCCCTCTACCGCCTCCTCATGCTGCTGCCAGGTCCAGAGTGTGACATGGGTCCCTGTACGGCCTCCCATTGCTGCTGTCTCCATCGCCACACTCTGCCATGTGCCACTTTCAGGTCTCCTCACACTGCTGGTGGGTTCCATTTTGTCATAGGGTGCTGTATGGCCTCCCATTGCTGCTGCCTCCACCGCCACACTGTGGCTCCACTCTCTGGTTTTGGCCCCGTGACTGCCCAAATTAGTGAAGTGTGCGGTGATTCTAAGATCGACGGCACTCATCTGCATGTCATACTGACTGACAGTATTATTTCTCTTCCCCAGCAGACTCCAAGGGCATTTAAATTAAAGGTACAGTGTTCTGCACTAATATAAAGGCTCTCTGAAGCCTAGAAACACCCTTTTTATAAGTTAAATTTGCAGCGAATATATTCGACTCGAATCGAATTTATTCTGCGAATTCGCCGAATCAGCCGAATCGAATATTTGAATACTTCGCTCATCTCTAATTGCCGCAACTGCCCTTTTCTTGCTCTTTTATTGTCACACTTGCCTATTTATTCTCCAGTTATTGTAACAACTTTGTCACAATAACCTGTTTGTTTTCATGTACTGTAAAGTTTGCCTGTTTGTTGCCAATATATTGTCACAATGGCTTGCTTGTTACACAATGTATTGTAAAAATTGCAGTTTGTTGCCCTCCTATTGTCACAATTGCCATTTTTTTCCCAGATATTGTCACAATTGCTTGTTTGTTGCTTGTGTTTTTGTGCTTGATTTGTTGTATCCTGCATATTTTAACAATTGTTATTTGAAGCCCATGTATTGTCAGGACTGGCATTGTTTGCCGATAAGTTGTACATTTCTTGCCCATGCCCATGTATTGTCAGGACTGGTATTGTTTGCCAATAAGTTGTACATTTCTTGTCCATGCCCATGTATTGTCAGCACTGGTATTGTTTGCCAATAAGTTGTACATTTCTTGCCCATGCCCATGTATTGTCAGGACTGGCATTGTTTGCCGATAAGTTGTACATTTCTTGCCCATGCCCATGTATTGTCAGGACTGGTATTGTTTGCCAATAAGTTGTACATTTCTTGTCCATGCCCATTTCTTGCTCTTTTATTGTCTCACTTGCCCATTTGCTGTCCAGTTAACTTCCCATCTGTTGCCTGAGTATTGTCACAATAGCCTGTTTGTGTAATGCATTATAAAGTTTGCCTGATTGTTGCCAACATATTTTTACAATTGCCTGTTTGTTACCCATGTATTGTAAAAATTGCCATTTGTTGACGTCCTGTTGTTACAATTGCCAATCTTTTCTCAGATATTGTCACAGTTGTTTGTTTGTTCTCTGTATTTTTGTGCTTGATTGTTGTAGCCTGTATATTTTAACAATTGTTATTTGAAGCCCATGTATTGTCAGGACTGGCATTGTTTGCCTATAAGTTGTACATTTCTTGCCCATGCCCATGTATTGTCAGGACTGGTATTGTTTGCCAATAAGTTGTACATTTCTTGCCCATGCCCATTTCTTGCTCTTTTATTGTCTCACTTGCCCATTTGATGTCCAGTTAACTTCCCATCTGTTGCCTGAGTATTGTCACAATAGCCTGCTTGTGTCATGCATTGTAAAGTTTGCCTGTTTGTTGCCAACATATTGTCACAATTGCCTGTTTGTTACCCATGTATTGTAAAAATTGCCATTTGTTGACCTCCTGTTGTCACAATTGCCAATCTTTTCTCAGATATTGTCACAGTTGCTTGTTTGTTGCCTGTGTTTTGTTGTGCTTGTCTGTTGTAGCGTGCACATTTTAACAATTGTTGTTTGTAGCTATTGTATTTTCAATACTGGTCTTTGTTGCTGATATATTGTAAAGTCCAAGCTGTTTTTTAAGAGCACCAAAAAACTATGGTATAATGCCATTTTTTTCAAGCAAATCCAACCAAAGCAATGGAACAGGGCTAATTTCAGCAAAATGTCAGCTCATCCTTCTAAGATATACACACTGGTCCTTGGAATGGAGGTTTCAACAATAAATACCCACACATATATTGACTCATTTTTGAGAAAAGCACAGGTTATTTTAAGTTTGCTGCTTTGCTTGGCCCATGCTCATTTTGTTGACTCATTGTTGACTCACAGATCCTTTAGTGCACTTCATCACAGCAGTAAGTCCATTCGTAGTGATATATCCCTTCTCTTGTTCATTTTCCTTAATAAATCATGCCCAATGTGTGTGGCCTCATACAGTACTTCATCACAATCTTCCATGGGTCTGGTAGATATCCTCCTCACAAGATTCAGTAAGTTATATCTTCCATCTACTCTAGTCATTCTCCAACCAAGCACTCAGCAAAGCTGCCTGTACTTATGTGAAAACACAGAGGAGTGTGCAGCTTAATACTTTTTACAGCTCAGTAAACAGATAACCAACAAGACTATTTAGGAACAAAGTGAACAGCGGAAGGTGAAAGTGCAGTAAGCCATAGCAACCAATCAGAAACAAACTTGTAAGTAATCTAACCATAGCACAATGAGATCAGATTGGTCACTATGGTTTACTGCACTTTCTTTTGCCTTACACTTTATTGAATAAGCCAAGTAATACTTACAAGTAATTCATTTGCACCAAGTTTAGGATTACTCTATTCCAAATAATGTTCCGTTCTTTTTTTTAAGTTGTCAAAATCAGAATTCAAAACATACTCCGATATCAACTTAAATGGATTACTTTATAACAAGACACTGCTTCCAAATAGATTTCTTTATAACAAGACAATGCTTCCACTTTACTGGGAACTGTTATATAACATAGGGTAAGTCGGATTTAAAGTGAACATGTCATAAAAGAAAGGCTGAAGGCTGTGTTTCAGAACAAGACTTTTTCCTGAAAATGCTGCATGGCAAACTGCTAAACTGATGGCAGCCTAACAGCCAGGGAACTATGATTTTTACAATGAGAAGTAAACAATTGCAGCAAAGTATGTCTCTCATGACAGGCTTCATACACAATGGTACAGTTTAAAGGATGGGAAGTATAGATCATTTTGATGCCATAAACACACCTTAATGTCAGTTTTAAAGGATAAGTTCACCTTAACCTCCCTGGCGGTATTCCCGAGTGAAGCTCGTGGTAAAATTTCAGTACCAAAAAGCGGTATCCCCGAGCTACACTCGGGCTTACCATGCGGCGTTTCTCAGGGATTCTCTAAAGCGCTTACCTTGTCCTTCGCTCCCACGATGCGCCCCCTGCAGCGTCCCCGGCCATCTCCTCCGGCCGATTCCGGCATCCGGCTTCCGTGTTCGGGTCCCTGCGAGCGTCGGGACGTACGGGGGCCGGACCTGGCGGCAAATTTAAAAATTTTAGAAACTGTCATTTTCTAATAAACAAATATGACATAGTAAAACATTACTGTTTGAAAGCATTACACATACATTTTGTCCCTACTGCTTTGTCTTGTGCCCTACCTGCATTTTTACTGTTCTTTCTGCCTGGAAACTTAGAAAAGTCCATTGCGTCCAAAAAGCGTCCCTTTAGGTCAAAAGCGGTTTTAGATCAGCTAGAGAACAGCGATAGTAAATCAGAACCACTTGCAGAATTGAGTGATAATGATTCGTGGGGAAATTCGTCATCAGACACTGAAAACGGTTCTCTGCGACTTTGCTCAGCGATGTGCGAACTTGGCGCTATATTTCAAATTTCAGTGTTTTTGGTTTGATTATATTATTGAATTAAATTTATTATTATTATATTAATATTTTTTTTGATTATTTATTTAATTATAATTTATGATTTCGTGTTTCAAGTTTTATCCTGCCCGGAATGTTTACTAGACTCTTGTTCGGACAGATTTCAGTGAGTTATTCCTAAAAATAACTACAATATACGACGCCAAATTTCCATGCAAAATAATGGTACCGCTTTCAGCACCAAAAATCTGAAATAATCATACCGCCAGGGAGGTTAAAAAAAAAAAATGCACATTTTTTTTGCAGGTTAAAAAAGTGCATTTACTATATTTTTTGTAGGAACCTGGAAAGCATTCCCATATGGAAGAAAAATATGTTTGAAATATATTTTTAAAATATTTGAAATGCTACAATTTTGGCCATATTCAGTATATTTCAAAATATATTTCAATATATATATATATATATATATATATATATATATATATATATATATATATATATACTGTATGTTGAAATGCATTTTTATTACACAATATATGAAAAAACATTTTTAAAATACATTTCAAATTTACTGTATGTCCTTAAAAATACAAATCTACATTTTTGGAATGCATTTACAAATATATGTAAAAATATTTGTTAAAATTATTTTTTTATATGTTAAAAAGAAATCTGAAGAATATATTTAAAAATATATATTTTTAAAAATATATTTTTTTTAAATATATTCTTCGGATTTTTTTGCAAAAATGTAGATTTGTATCTTTAAAGACATACAGTATATTTGAAATGTATTTTTAAAAAATGTTTTCATATATTTTGTAATAATTACGCATTTAAACATGCAATATATATATATATATATATATATATATATATATATATATATATATATATATATATACATATATACATTTATTGAAATATATTTTGAAATATATTGAATATGGCCAAAATTGTAGCATTTCAAACACATGGCAATATATTTGGGAAGAATATTTTTAAAATATATTTCAAATATATTTTTCTTCCATGTGGGTTGCACCAGCGATCAGCAGTTCACTGGTGCCCTGCAGGGCTCCTGCAGACTGTCATAAATAATGAACTACCTAGAACGCTCACTAGCGCCCTGGTAGTTCAACTACAACTACAAACAGTCAGCCTCAAAAGCTGTCAGTACTTATAGTTCATTCATTCACAGAACTCTGTGAATGAATGATGCAGCCCTGTGGGCAGAGCCCCCAAGGCTGTGCTTTTTTCAAATTCTGATTGTAAGTGCAGGGAGAAGATCCCCAGCCCACTGTCATAGGGAGGGGGAAGCGGGGAGCTGTGTTCTTGTGTGATACCTGCGCATTCCTATGCATTCATTTGAATGGACTGCAAATTACATCAGAGTGCACAAAAGTAATGAATGTACTACTTTTGAAAAACACACCACATCAAATCACATGGTACTGTGGCACCATGTGATCTGGTGCCTGCAAACGCAGTGCGTTTGCGTTCTGCGTTTGGAGTGCTGTTAACAATGTATTGGTACCAGCAGCAGATTGCAAACGCAGTTTGTTTTAAATGTGATACGAGAAACACACAGAGGATGTGATGTGAACCAGCCCTCAAAGTGTAATTATAACCAAAACCTTTATCTAGTGCTGGAAGGAGTATGGAAGAATTAGGACT